ATGAAAGTACGTTTAGCTGCACAATTGTTAAGTTTAAGTACTTATGATGCTTTAATATATTTGTCCAAAAAGCAAGTACCTGGTTTTTCAGGTTGTGAAGCAACATCTGAATACATTAGAGTTGCAGATATGGTATTTGACATTCTAAATTCAAAAAAATTTTATGCAAAAAAAAAAACCTTTTTAAAGGAAAATTACTACCTGTTGAAAAAACTTTGTGAAGAGGGTAAAAAATACATTTTAGGCTTAATAGTTGCAGCCTATGATAGTGAAGAAAAACGGTGGCGTGCCCCTGTGCCCATTCTTCAGTCACCATGGTTCACAGGTTTTTTAGGATTTTTAACAGGAATTGATACAGACAGCCCTCTCTTTGTTTGAAACTTACATTCAGACTGACATTTTAAATTTTTTCCCTATGTATAAGCTAAGCCAGGACCACCTCGAAACTTTCTTCTGTGCAGTTAGGAGTAGAGGTGGTTGGAACAATAACCCTAACGTGAAACAGTTCATGGCTGCGTACAAGAGGCTCCTAGTGCAGGTTCAGTTGGGGGGTAAGAGGAATGCCAACTGCTGGCCCCTACACAGCACTAGGATTTTAAATATATCTACATCAGCTAAGCACAAACAATTCAATACTCATGATGTAACAGAGGTGGACTGCGAACCAGATGATCAGTTATTAGCTGATGATGACCGGCTAATAGCAGATCATGATCCATATGCTCCACTCCAAAGTTTATCGGCATTATCACCTTATGTTACAGATGTTGTTGAATATATTGCAGGCTTTGTGAGTAGGTCACTATCAGAAAGTCTGCACTGTGTTGTGTGCAATGCTGCTTTATATGGAAATTCAACAAACTCTGACCTCCTCAAAATAAAGAACAAGGGAGGCTTAGTGTTTGCATCTCGAGATGTTGTATCCATATGTAAATTAACGGAACAAATTTTTAGGGGCTACACCACCAAAAAAGTTGCATTGCGCAAAGCAATCCCTGTATATATTAATAAAATTAAGGCACGTATTACTTCTTCTATATTTAGTACATTAGATAAGGACCATGACTACTGTAATGACGCTTTAGACACCCACAGATCTCTACTTATGTCTTCTATAATTGACAAATATTTAGTAATAAGAATTTGTCATGACATTAAAAGACTGAATGAATCTGTGATAAAGAAAAATATCCGCCACACAATGACGAAAACAGTAGTATTCCAGGGGCAATAAAAAGCAATTCCTCCATAATTTTCTTTTTCTTTCTGGATACCTTGAAAAAGAAAAGCCACAATAAGTTCCCTCCCACGCAACACCTGAACCCTACACATGTAGGGATTTTGATTGATTGGATTTGATGGCTTACTTTATCTGTCTGTCTCAAAAAAAAGAAGAAAATACAGCAGAGAACGTTCATTCTGTGGCGTTTTTGCTGTACACTATCCTGTTAGACATTTACGAAAATCAATAAACGGCGCAACTTTTATTTAGCCAGGAGCTCAGATCGGCCTGAGGCTGGTCGATACACCTTCATCTTTGTCCGTTTTCATGTCAGTAATCGATTTAAGTTTCGGCCAAATACGCACAGATTTGTTAACTACATTAAATTCCGATCATTCCGTATCAGTTTTAAGAATTGGAAAACGTTTTATTTCATTTTTAATTTAAAGTTAAAAATGGGAGACCCCGCTCACCCTCATGCGCCGCCGTGTTTATAACCACAGTACATCTTTCAGAGTCGCTAATTCTACGATCGATGATGCCGGACGGGGAGGAAGTGTTTGGAAAGGCTTTGTTGGATTTTGTTGGAGCACTAGAGCAACCTGGAAACAAGAACGAGAAGAAGAAGAACCGGAAGAAAAGAGGAGCATCGGGGAGTCCAGAGGAAGAGGGGGTGGAGACAAGAAGCAAGAGGAACAGAAGAAGTTGAAACGAATCATGATCTGCATTTACACTGTCTAAGAGTTGTACTGTGAAGTTACGAAATTTATGATTTGTAGGATTTAATGATTTAATGATTGTACTGTCTGGTTTAAAACTGAAAAAACTGAAAAGAGGGATCAAATAAAAGCAACGATAATACAAGGGGGGGAGCACGGAGTAGAGGTAGGAAGAAGTTGGAGGAGTATCGCCGTCGGAGAGGGGAAGGGGCGGGCGAGAGAAGCAAAGTCTCTGAGAGCACGGAGTGGCGCCGGAGGCAGCCGCTGGCTGCGAGGACGGACGAAGTAGAGACGGCGCCGGAAGGCGCGTGGGATCGCTGCTCAACACAGCACCAACGGACAAGACGAATTTAATTATTTGACAGGGTTTTTAAAGCTTTTTAGCTTTTATTTTACTTTATAACAATACAATTGTATCCACCTAATTGTATAATTTTTCCTGTTAAATAAAAGTGTTTAAGAAAAAAAAAAGTGGTCAAGGCGACGGGTTCCTAACTCGGATGACCGAGGTTCGAGTCCCGGCAAAGGTAAAGTACTTTCCAATTAAATGTCATAAAATAAAATTACTACGGTGAAGTAGAGGAAGAGAGAGAGGGCCAGGGCAAGGTAACAATCGATAAAAACCATAAAGAAAACATTTTCCTTTTTGGCTATCGAAATACCGCTGCCACCCTCCCCGCACATCTCCTACCCTTTCTGTGAATTTTTGCGCTACCTGACTCGGGTGTCAGCGCCGCAGGCCTAGACAGGTGTATGCTAGGCGCGTCGCAGCGCAACAGTGTTTCGTGAAATGTCGCGAAGCCTGTTACGCGAGACGTGGTCTGGTGTACATCTACCCAGTTAACAGATGACAGACCAGCTATATGTACGCCAGACTACGTCTTGCGTAACAGGCTTCGCGATATCTCATGAAACACTGTTACGCTGCGACGCGCCTGGCGCACACATAGCTAGGCCTGCGGCGCTGACACCCGTGACGAGCTAATGGGAAGGTATACGGGATCAGGGCCTTCCGGCACCAAAATTTGACATACTTACAGCATTTGTCGGGGACATATTACTGTAAAATTACGGACATGAAACGTCTGCTGTTCGATGAACGATTGTTTGACGGCGAAGAGAATAGTCGTACGAGTCGGGCATCAGCCGTCAGAGTTGCCGTTTTCTTTGGTTCTCCGGGGTCGCTTCCCGGGAAGTCCACCGGAGCGGCCTCCAGTAGTCGTACGAGTCGTAAGGGCTCCTCTCGGGGTCCCCCAAAATGAGTCGTATGAGTCGTAGACAGTCGTGAGAGTTGGCACGGCGTGGCGGAGTGTGGTGTTCTTGTGGTTTCGCGAGCCAACCGTCGGAAATTTTTTAAGTGTCGGTCAAAATTTGTCACTTCCAATGTTAAGTTGACAGGACGTTTCCAGTAGTTGTGAACAACATGTCAAAAGATAGGAACACAGTTTTTTGGTAACTTTATGCACTTGGGTTGGCCTTGGCCATTTTCGTGCGTCTCCCCACTCCCCGTATTTATTTCTAAAAGTCACCAAAATTATTAAACATCTCATGTAACGTTGTCTGGATGTGTCGCGTTATGGCAAACAACATATCACAAGGTGGAAAACTTTTATTGCGCAATGTGCTTTTACAAGTTGTTTACGCTTTGCTGTACGTCAGAATTCGCACGATTCACACGCGCTTCACCCGGAAAGCGAGCATGGCGGAAGCCGGCCGGCAGCCGCAGCCTAACCTGCAACTTGGCCATGTGCTTCTCGTGTTGTTTGTAAACAGAGTCAGTATTTTCTCCGATTTTTTAAGTGTTTTTTTTAACTATTTCTCAAAGTTTGAGTTATTTTCCCTTATTCACTTGGGTATAGTGAATTAGTAGAAATGTCAGCAAAGCGATTGAAAAGACCGAATTGTTTAAAACAAAGCAAATCTGAAAGCCAACCCCCTGCAACTCTCAAAAGAAGTTTTCTTCCAATCTTTTAACTCGAACAAGAATTGAGAGAGCGATCTGGGAATTTTGGGGTCGTTTTGCAACACAAAAAGACAGATCGAGTCCGAAGATGAGCATTCTAGCTCAAAAATTGACTCTTAAAAGAATCAAAAACCACAGGTCGCAAAATAATTTTTTTTCAATTTTTTTTATAGGCTTCTACGGGGTAACTCGTGAAAGTAAAGCCCTTTGGGCGAAAATTTCGTCCGTTTTGCTCAATCTTGCACCGTTTCCGCGCTAGGGGGCATCTCTGGACAAAAATGTGGTGAAAATAACCAAATGGTCTACTAAACCGTAAAAAAGGCTTTATATCAAAAAAATGTGTATACGCTCCTATTCACTCGTCTCTGGTGTCAGCGCCGCAGGCCTAGCTATATGTGCGCCAGGCGCATCGCAGCGTAACAGTGTTTCGTGAGATATCGCGAAGCCTGTTACGCGAGACGTGGTCTGGCGTACACATAGCTAGTTTTGTAAATCGTGAAAAACAAAACAGAATTCATCTTTCCGGGAAAACTGTACAATTATACCACGTACAACCATTACTACCAGCTTTACCATAAGTTTTTTGGTGGTTGGCTAAGCGATTAGCGAAGCCCATTACTCCACAGACCGGAAAAGTTTTATTCTATTTGTCTGTTTGTGCCCGTAACAGTGTTTCGTGAGATATCGCGAGGCCTATTACGCGAGACATGGTCTAGCGTACATCTACCTAGTATTTTTGGCTGAGCGATTAGCGAAGCCCATTACTCCACTGACCTTTCAGAAATTTCATTCTGTTTGTCTGTCTGTCCGCACGATAATTCGAAAAGGAATTGAGATAGCGATCTGGGAATTTCAGGGTCGTTTTGTTTAAGAAAAAGACAGATCGAGTTCAAAGATAAGCATTCTAGCTCAAAAATTGGCTTTAAAAAATTTTCAAAAACTACCTGTCGCAATATGTTATTTTATCAAATTATTTTTTATGGGTTCCTAAGGAGTAAGCCGTTAAAGTACAGATCTGCGGTCGAAAATTTCGTCTGTTTGGCTCTATCTTGTACCGTTTAGGTGCTAAGGGGCATTTCTTGACAAAAATTAGGTGAAAATGATCAAATGGTCGATTATATCGTTAAAAAGACTACATTTCAAACTGTCTATACACTCCTATTACCCCGTCTCGGGTGTCAGCGCCGCAGGCCTAGCTATATGTGCGCCAGGCGCGTCGCAGCGTAACAGCGTAGCAGCGTAACTCGTGAAAGTAGAACCCTACAAATGAAAATTTTGTCCGTTTTGATCTATCTTGTACCGTTTTGGCGCTATGGGTCATTTCTTGGCGAAAACAATGTGAGTTAGACAATATGGTCTATTAAATCGTAACAAGCAGGCCCGCCCTTCCGCCAAACGGAGTTGCCAGCACCGCTTTGCTGCGCCGGCAACTCCGTTCGGCAGGGGCCGGGCCTGCTTGGCCTGCGATGACGCTCGGGCCAGCGGCTCGACCGTTTTTGCTGAATTTGCTGAAGAACATAATCTAATAATATAGCGGGCCTTCGGCCTAAAACTCGTCGTCTTTAAAATTTGCCCCTTAGACGCATGATATACGAATGTAACGGTGACGCACCGTGACTACAACCCACCCTTCTGCGTAGAAAGGGGGGGGGGGGCCTTCCTGTACAACTAAATGTTGACTACAGCGATTTATAGCTTATTTTCGTCAAAAGAGACCCTTCAGCGCCCAAACGGTGAGAGAGAGAGAGCCAAACGGACGAAATTTTGGCTCAAAGGGTTCTACTTTCACGAGTTACCCCTTCGGAGATCATAAAAAAAATATTTTTTTTTAACTTTTTTGACCCACCTCCTTTTCTTTGATACCCCCTTTCAGCCCCTTAGGGGTGATTGCCAGGATTTGCCGTAGGCGTTTCGTTTTCTAGGAGTGAACCTTAAGATACCCTGAAAATTTGAAGTCTCTAGCACATCTCCTTCTAGTGGAACAGACAGGCAGACAGACACACAGACATACACACAGATACGAGATCCTTTGCGTAAGCCCGCTGGATAGCTTTTTCAAAGCAGAAGGACGGGCTAAAAAAGGCTTCATGTCACAGAATTGTAAAGGGAGTAATACTTCAACCACACGTTAAGGGTCGAACCATTCACTCTTTTGGGCTTAAGGGTGCCTAGATTATCTAGTATCACTAAAACGTTGATTTTTACATAACAATCTGTCAAAATTCGAACTGTTTGCCCTAAGGGTTCTACTTTCACGATTTACCTCTTAGGAGCCCCAAAAAA